AAAAAAAGCCTGGCATTGTGGCAGGCACCTGTGGTCAAAACTACTCAGGAGGCTGAGGCAGAAGAATTGCTTAAGCCCAGGATTTGGAGGTTGCTGTGGGCTGTGATGCCATAGGATTCGACCAAGTGAGACAAAGTGAGACTGTGTTTCAAAAAAATTTCACATAAATAATTCACATAAACGATATCTATTCACCAGTAAATATGAGTTAAATTTAAGACTGTTTTTGTTGTATGATAACAGGTATACTGAATATTTTATGCACCATCTGGCAATAAAATTTCATGGAAAATTACAATTTATTAGGATGAAATACTTATCTTAATAAAGAAAATGTTAATAAACATTTGAAAACCGCAAAGATAACTTTTATTATGTTATTAACATATTCTTATTTTTGCAAAAACTGAAAAGGTTTAACTCACCCTTTAGATACGATCAAAAAACATTTATAAATAAAATAATATTAACTTTGTAAAATATGATGAATCGTGGTGTTTAAAATAAGCATTTGGGAAAAATTAATGTAGATAATAGGCTGAGGTTGAGGAAACTGATGACAATCCTGCCGATTTCTATTTGCCCAGAGTAAACTAGAGCTTTCAAGTGAGCCTTTTAATAAACCTGGAATTTCTACTTATTCTTTAAATTACTTGTTAAATAAGTTGAAATTCTAACACATAGTTCTCAATATTTAAATCTAAAGTTACAGAAAATTGAACACAGAATAAAATGGAATGTGTATGGACACAAACATTGTGTATATATACACACAGAAATACAGACACTAAAATCAGCAAGACAGTAGAATACAAGTCCCATGTTCATGTATTCCTCCCAAGGGAGCCATCCATAGGGAAAAATGCTTCAGTGAGAGCCCAGCACATGGACTTACACCAGTCATCTCAGTTACTTAGAGGCTGAGGTAAGAGGATCACTTCAGTCCAGGAGTTTGACAGCAGCCAAGGCAATACAGTGAGTCATCATCTCACAATAAGTGATTTTATGAGAGTTTTAGAATCCAGGGAGGAGGTTGTGAAATCCTCCTAATACCCTTAAGGAGGGTCACTCAGAGAAGGCCGACCCTCAGACCCTCATTCAGTCAGCAAACCACAGGATCCCTGGTCTTGGTTACTGACCAGAGTGGCCTGCTCACCTTTGTTCCACTGAGAATTCTCAAGGGACAATGTGGGCCTCTCCAACTTCTCCCAGCCATGATGTGCACGTGGTGTTACCCATCCAGAGACCTGGAGGTAAATGTTCACTCATAACCATTGAGACAGGTCTGCAGACCTTGGCATGTTGTGTGTGTGTGTATATGTTATTTGTGTGTGTGGATATATACATACTATTTGTGTGTGCATACATATGTATGGACTATTTTTCTATGTATATGTATATATATATACATATATATACACACACACACAATATTTGTGTGTGTACACATATTCGCATATATATATATACACACACAAATAGTATATATGTATACACACACACACATTAGAACCTCCATAAGGGGCTCAGCACCTGTGGCTCAAGTGTTAAGGCGCCAGCCACATGCACCTAGGGTGGCAGGTTCAAATCCAGCCTGGGGCCGCTGAAACAACAATGATGGCTGCAATCAGGAAATGGCTGGGCGCTGTGGCAGGCACCTGTGGTCCCAGCTACTTG